TGAACCATTTGGGATTCAACCACATCATGAGATTTGGGGGCAACATGTTCTTGGAAATCCACTGCCGAAACATATGAACTTTGGGAACCATGCGACCCTTTTTCGTTCTCATGTTTTTCAACCCTTGACTCCTTAGCACTCATCCCCATATTTAACAAACCCTGCCGAAACTTTTCTTCAGCATCTCTCAAACAACGCAATCGGAACAGTTCAATTGGATCCATTTCAACATCAACACTTTCCCTTTGTCCCACATGAACTTTTTGGGGTGTCGACGCATTTGAACCCGGCTGCAAACCCAAGGCACTCACATCGTACCCAGGCCCGAATGCTTCTCGAACAGCTTCACGCTGCTGAGTTTCGCTCCAGAAGGGATTCACAACACTCCCCATTTGGTCTGGAACCACAACAACATTTTCGGTGCCCTGAGGCGCCACAACAACGGCTCCGGAGCCCTGAGGCCCATCACCTATGTAAAACCTTTGAACCCCTAAACCCTTCACATTGGAGCCCTGAGGCATGGTTTCACTCACAACACCCGAACCCTTTCCAGTGGGACCCGGTGACACATTTTGACAACTCTCAGAACCCCTCACATGTGAGCCCTGAGACACATTTTCACAACCAAAACCCCTCATGCGTGAGTCTTGGGACACAGTTTCACAACCCTCAGAACCCCTCACATGTGAGCCCTGAGACACATTTTCACAAACAGAACTCCTCATTCGTGAGCCCTGCGACACAATTTCACAACCCTCAGAACCCCTCACATGTGAGCTCTGAGACACATTTTCACGACCAAAACCCCTCATGCGTGAGTCTTGGGACACAGTTTCACAAACAGAACCCCTCATTCGTGAGTCCTGCGACACATTTTCAACACCCTCAGAACCCCTCACACGTGAGCTCTGCACATCCCGGTTTGAGTGTTGTGCTTCTGCGGCAACAGTTTTTCTGGGTTCCCTTCTGCCAGACTCAGAGCTAGACCCCTTTCCCTTACCAGCACCATCTCTAGGACTATGTTCATTCACAATCCCCTGCGCTGATTCGGTGGTAGTTCCAGTCCCCTCATTTGGTGGGTTCCGAGTTTGTTGCTCTGTCACAACGACCCTTTTGACACCAGGTGTGTTTTCAACATTTTGTTTCACCTCGAGGTTTTGCATTCCCTTAGCTCCCTCAACTAACATGGGCGGCTTGCCAGGGGAAAAAGACAACGGAGGTCCTACAGGCCCAAGAGCATCCAACATACCCCCACTATTCACAGGTTCAGTGGTATTAGGTTCACCAGTCAGAGCTCCAACGGACCCACCAGTTCCGGACCCAGCAGCTTCTTCCAACATCTCCTCCATCAGGTCGTCTGCGCAGCCGGCAGCTTTCACAGCGCTAACAGCAGCAGCAGCTCTTCGCTGAAGGGAAGACTCACGGCGACCAGCAAGCTCCATGTCAGCTGAGATCCCTTGGGCTCATAACCCGTGGATCAACAGCTGAATCAGCAGCTGCTAGGCAAGACCTTTTTCGTCTCGCCCTTGAGCCAACTTTCGTTGGCTTGAGCCATTTTGCAATGGCAGTCACGTGTCATCCTTGTGCAGTGGCCATGCTATGGTTCATGCATGCCACCACATGTCACTTTCTAAGTTTTTAAAATCCACAGCAGCTGGTGGAATGCTTCATGAATCGCACTTTTGTTTGGCCCGCATGTGCCTCTGATGGGCCCGTGCTTTGGACTATATTCTTAGTGGTTTTCGCCGCATTTGTCACCGAAGGTTTTGTTTGATATTGATGTTTTCCATCCGGTGGCGGGTACAATTTTGGTATCATTCAACAACTGCTTTGTTTTTAGTGTTGCCATTTCCAAATTCTCTATTTGGTTGAGCGAAGGAAGTTTAGAAGTCAAACTTCCGACAATATGGACAGATGAAAAACAAAGCAGGGAAGAGGCAGAGAGAAGAAAAAAATTAGAAGCGAGAAAATCAGAAGAGAAAGAGTCAGAAGAAAGAAGGTGCAGATGCGCGAAAAGGTAGGAAAGTCGCTAAACACTGTGTTTTTCCAATGATTTGAGGCTCCAGAGGGTCGAAAAGTAGGCTCGCTAAAGCGGCGGGTGCGGAGCCAGCTGGCCAGATGAGAGATGAAAATTTGCACGCCGTTGTGGCGCGAAGCAGATTTCGAAGTGAAAATGTACAACCCACCATGGTCGGACCACTTTTGGCAGTTGAGATGTCGAAAAAGTGCACGCCGTTGTGGCGCGAAACACATTTCCAAGTCAAAATGCGCAAGCTCCGGACTGCTTTTGGCAGTTGAGATGTCGAAAAAGTGCACGCCGTTGTGGCGCGAAGCACATTTCCAAGTCAAAACGTACAAAACACACCAGGTTCGGACCACTTTTGGGAGTTCAGATGTCGACAAAGTGGGCGCCGTTGTGGCGCGAAGCACATTTCCAAGTCAAAACGTAGAAAACACCACATGTTCGCGCCACTTTTGGAGGTTCGGATGTTGAAAAGTGCACGCCGTTGTGGCGCGAAGCACATTTCCAAGTCAAAACGGACAAAACACCACATGTTCGCGCCACTTTTGGAGGTTTGGATGTTGAAAAAACTAGAGGACATTACACTACACTACACTCCAGTAAGCTACATTACACTACATTACAGTCCAGTACACTCCACTACACTAAATTACACTACACCACACTACATTACATTGAATGACACTGCAACACAGATAGACAGGTAGACAGCTAGACAGATAGACAGATGAAAGCGAGAGATAGATAGACAGGTAGGTAGATAATTAGATAGATACGTAGATAGATAGTCAGGTAATTGGATGAAAGAGAGAGAGAGAGGCCAGCTGGGTAGATGAGATAGATAGATAGATAGATAGATAGATAGATAGATAGATGGCTAGACAGATAGACAGATAGACAGACAGAAAAACAGACAGATAGATAGACAGATAGATAGATAGAAAGATAGATAGGTAGGTAACTAAATGAAAGAGAGAGAGAGAAACAAAAAAAGAGATGGATACATCGATCGATAGATAGATAGATACATAGAAGATAGGTAGGTAGGCAGGTAGATAGTCAGAGAAAGAGAAAAAAAAACAGTGAGAAAAATCAATCACCTTGCGCTCCATCAGGATTCACTCTGCCATCCCTCATTCACAACAACCAACCTTTCCTATACGTTTCCTATTTCTGAAACTTCCGCCACCGCCTTGTGCGGTACTACTGGTAGTTGCATTTGGAACACTGTCAAGCCTTGTCATCGCCGCACCCTCTAATTGTGACGGTGCAACATTTGGGTTGTTCACTGTGGGACAACGGCAGCCCTAAACATCAAACCCCGACAGTGAATGGGAACCTTAGCCAACGAATACAAACATCCGTGCTGACCACACATCAGTTCCTGTTGTCTGCAACTTGGATCAACTTGCAGTGCTGTGATGTGCGGCGCGTGGAAGAGCTGCAGGCGCCAATGTTTGTGATTTGTCATGCGGATGTCAGTGGCCCTTGTGAGCGGTTGGATCACAAAAGCGCCCCTGAGTTGTGCCAATTGATTCGTGAAACCACCACGCAGTGAGCATGTTGTTTGTGCATGTGCGTTTTTTTCTCAAATTCTTAGGGCCTGGCACCGTGTCACATGAAGATGAAGGGATGCTGTCAGTTGATGTTGGTTGAGGTTATGCCGCTATCATTGGAACATGGTGGGTCACCAAGCAGGCACGATCTGCCTGGTCATTGAAGTAGGGAATTATGATGTACACGTCGGAATGCAAAGCTGGGGCCCATGAGGTGCGAGGTACTTTGTCCCTGCTTTTCGATGACTGTAGCGGTGGCGTGCCGTGCTCAATTGTGCCAAGGGGGTCCTGGGAAAGCAGGGCAATTCGGGGAGAGTGTTCCATGTATTATAATGATGTTGAATGCTGAGATAGTTCAGCGAAAAAAAATAAACCCGTTCTGCCCTGTAGTAGTCAATTCGGAGCAAATAGATTCGTAACACGGCCATCTCTATTTAAACCATAGCTGAAGGAACATGAATCCATGAAGGAGTTGTGCCCCCATAAGCTGTTTGCGGCGCACGGGAAAATATCATACCGCATACCTAGTTATCCTTGATTTTATTTTGCATGTTTTTTGCAGTAAATGCGTTTCGCAGTTTCGCTTTAAAATCAAGAGAAGGGAGGGCAATGCATCAAGAACCAACAAGTATTGCCAGTTAGATATGAAGGTTTCACAAGAAAAAACGTGTTGATCACAAATGCTGGAGATGCTGTCCCTCGGTGTGGTAAATTAAAGAACCATTATCACTGTATCACCCATAACCTTGGGCAAAAATGGTGGCGCGGTTCACATTTTCACATCGGTTTTCAACTCAGACTTGGAGCGAACCGATTGACTTGGTTGGCCTTGGTTTGTGCAATCAGGTGTCATTATGATTAAAGAGTTAGCGAGTTTGCCCCTGACCATGTCAAGAGAAGCACATTTAAAAACAATATGTCAACGTGTCATAAATCATCACATGGTGAAAAAACCTGAGTTCCCAATATGTTTCTGGATCCGCTGGCTTGGACAACAGCCTTCGCCTGAGGTTGGGAGTGGTTGGTTTCATGAATTGGGAGCAAGGCAAGGGAATCATGGGCTGGAAACCTCTCAATCTCCAGTCAGAAACTGGATTGCATCATGAACCGGCCTTTCAGAATTCGATATCTCCATCGTTTTCCCGAAGTTAGCTATTTGAAAATCACAGTTGATGAAGTCAAAAGGGTATGGGCCAAGATGCAACACCCAAGGCACTGCAGATTTTGGTCATTTGTAGTGCTGTAGTATTAATACCATCCCTATCCATCCTATGTTTGGAGTCGCTGCAAAAACTTGCCCCATGCCATCACGTTTGGCTCAGCGGCCCATCCAACCTGGAGATGCCGTTCCAACTGGGTGGTTTCACATGAAGCACCCCATTGGTTGGGTCCTTAATATGTCCATGGTTCAATCCTGAGCCATGACTGTGAGGCTGATCTCAGGCAGATCAATGAAAGATAGTTTGGCACGTGCTTGGATGGTGTGCGTTGCTAGTCAAGCACATGTACGTAGCCACATCAAATAAACAAACCGTACGGGGGGGTTAACCGTACCTTATTTTGCTAAAAAAGGTTTAAAAAAGTGCATCTTGATTGGCCAGTGCAGGTCAAAATGGATGTCATGAGGGGTTTAAAGTTTAAACATGTGATTATTTTTGTTGCAAAATGTGTTAAAACCTGCGTTTCGGACCATTCAATCGGCACTATTCACGTCATCATTTGTACATGCATTTGCCTGTTTTGTGGAGCAAATCTCTATGTGACATGACTTGGACTTGGCGCCATCGCCATTGCCATTGCCTGACGTATGTCAGAGCCAACGGATTCACTTTCTTTCGCAGCGTAGCACCAAGTGCGTCTTAAAAACCAAATGATGTAAGTTAGAGTGCAGGATCAAGTGAGTCTTAGACGTTACATGAGCGTAACGTCAACTGCGTCTCTGTGAATGCAGTTCACATGAACGTTAATAGGCCCCACCCAACCCCACCCACCCTCCGCCCCCAGAAACATCCAAACAAAAATAGGGTCCGGTAAACCCCCCGTTAGCATAAACACCATTCCACCTGGTAAGTCCACTGGCCACACGAGCAAGTAACGACCGACAAAAATGTGGCGCTGTAGATCTTGACGAGTCGGTCCCATCGAGGTGCCACATTCACATCCAAATGGTGCTCCTTTGCCAACGATTTGGCAGATCCAGACCTATGGAAGCGCACTGTGGCGCACCAGGCCTTGCAAAGGCTCTTTATGGAGGTGTGTGGGGGCGAGTGGGGTAAATTATATCAGATGCACCCACACTGAGCATGGAGCGGAGTTTATCTATTGGATTTAGTGGTTTATTTTATTTCCAGATGCTGCTGGTGCAGAAACAGAAAGCTATGCGGTTAGAATTGTCTGCGTGATGTTGGGGGTCATTGTTCAAGGCGCATCGGAAGATTGAGGACTTGCAAAAGTCATTTGCGGACCTTGACGTCGAAGATGTTGGAAGGGTTCCTCGACAAGAGTGTTTTGCCATCTTCAATGTTTATGAATTGGTACATGTGGCATTTTTATGCATTTTTTCCCGAATGCGTAGCAAGGGTTCTCGTTTCACTCTGGGGGTCTGGGGGTTGAGGGTGTGTTCGCTCGACGTTGCGTTTGTGGTCGCAACCGTCCGCAACCGTCCGCAACCGTCCGCAACCGTCCGCAACCGTCCGCAACCGTGCAACCGTTCGTACGAACTCCGTCCGTATGGCCGTGCCTATGGGAAGTTTTGCAGAGGTGGTCCTTTTTGGTAGTTTCAGACGTCTCGTTGCTTCGTTTCGCGTGGCAGGCGTGGCACTTCGTGACATTCAGACGTGTTCTGTAACGTGTCGAAAGTCGTTTTGTGTGGCAGGCGCAATACTTTTGCGACGTTTTCAGAAGATGTGTTGCAGTTTTCGTGGCAGGCGCAGCACTTTGGACGTGTCCATCGTCATTTTTCGTGGCAGGAGAGGCACTTTAGACGTGTCGCGTTGCATGTTTTTTGCAAATCGCATTGGCAGGGCTGCGTCAAGTGGTGACAAGGTGCAATTTCGTGGCAGGCGTGGCATTTTGTGCGACGTGTTGAAAATTGACGGAAGCCTCGCACGAAACATCGATTTTGAGCTTGCAAAATTTAGAGGTTCCTAAGAAAACTCGTAGGAAAACGCCGATTTTGAAGCTACAAAGTGTGAAAATTGGAGGAAGTCTCGCACGAAATGCTCGTTTTGGTGCTCCCACGTGTCTCGTCTCGAGTCTCTGGTTTTCCCGTGGCTTCGCGGTGTCTATGGGGGAAGCTGCAAAACCTGTCCTTTGTCATGTTGCCAACTGTGAAAATTGCCGGAAGTCTCGTACGAAATGCTGGTATTTCTGCATCCACGTGTCTTGTCTCGAGTCGTTGGTTTTCCTGTGGCGTCGCCGTGTCTATGGGGGAAGCTGGAAAACTTCTCCTATTCGAATGTGTCCAAGCAGGTTGTCATATCGTTTTGCGTGGCAGGTGTGGCACTTTGTGACATTCCAACCTGTTTGATAATGTGTCGAAAATGTCGAAATTGGAGGAAGTCTCGTACGAAATGCTGATTTTTCTGCATCCACGTGTCTTGTCTCGAGTCGCTGGTTTTCCTGTGGCGTCGCCGTGTCTATGGGGGAAGCTGGAAAACATCTCCTATTCGAATGTGTCCAAGCAGGTTGTCATATCGTTTTGCGTGGCAGGCGTGGCACTTTGTGACATTCCAAGCTGTTTGATAACGTGTCGAAAATATCAGAATTGGAGGAAGTCTCGCACGAAATGCTCGTTTTTTTGCACCCACGTGTCTCGTCTCGAGTCTCTGGTTTTCCTGTTGCGTCGCCGTGTCTATGGGGGAAGCTCCGCACTCCACACTCTACACTTTACACTCCACACTGCACAATTTACACTTTAGACTCCACGCTCTACACTTTACACTCCACACTTTACACTTTGCACTCTTCACTCCTCACGTGAGACTTTACACTCCACACTCCACACTCCACACTTTACACCACACTCTACACTTTCCACTCCTCACTCCTCACTCTACACTTTACACTCCACACTCCACACTCTACACTCCACACTCCACACTTTACACTACACACTCCTTACTTTACACTCCACACTTCACACTCCACACTTTCCACTCCACACTCCACACTCCACACTTTACACTCCACACTCCACACTTTACACTCCTCACTCCACACTTTACACTCGTCACTTCACACTCTACACTCCACACTTTACATTTTACACTCCACACTCCATACTCTACGCACCACACTCTACACTTTCCACTCCACATTTCACACTCCACACTCTACACTTTACACTCCACACTCCACACTCTACACTTTACACTCCTCACTCCACACTCTACACTCCACACTCCCCACTTTACACTCCACACTCCACACTCTAGACTCTACACTTTCCACTCCACACTCCGCACTCCGCACTCCACACTTTTCTGTAGACTCCACACTTTACTGTACACTCCACACTCCACACTTTATACTTTACACTCCTCACTCCACACTTTACACACAAAACTTTACACTCCACACTCCACACTCTACACACCACACTCTACACTTTCCACTCCAGACTCCACGCTCTACACTTTACGCTCCACACTCCACACTTTACACTCCACACTCCACACTCCACACTTTACACTCATCACTCACACTTTACACTCCACACTTTACACTCCTCACTCCACACTCCACACTCCACACTTTACACTCCTCACTCCACACTCCACACTTTACACTCCACACTTCACACTCCACACTTTGCACTCCACACTCCACACTCCACACTTTACACTCCACACTTTACACTCCTCACTCCACACTTTACACTCCACACTTTACACTCCACACTCTACACTTTACACTCCACACTCTACACTCCACACTCCACACTCTACACTCCACACTCTACACTTTACACTCCATACTCCACACTCTACACTTTGCACTCCGCATTCCACACTTTACACACTCTACACTCCCCACTCCACACTTTACACTCCACACTCCTTACTTCACACTCCACACCCCACACTCTACACTTCCAACTCCACACTGCAGACTGGTAACAAGGGAAACATGTACAAGACTGTTCAAATAAACTATTGCGGAAAGGTATTGTGCGTGACTGCATAACCATGTGTTTTTACAGCTGTGCCATTAACATACGTGTGAGCATTCGGGTTCGTGGGCTTCATCTTGTTTTTCAGGAGTCATCATTTATATCAATCCGTTTGTAGATAATCAGATAATCCTCGACTATCCTCGACAGATTTGAGGATCCAAGGACCTGGTGGCTGCAGATCTTCAGGTCATCGCTTTGGAAGAGCTCATGAAAACATCTCCGAGTCCTGAACGTGAGGACGTGCCGCTCTGCGAGGAACGACGGACCTGGAGTGGAAGGACCGCCAGGGGGAAAGGTGATGAAATGAAGGGCAGGTGACTTTGATTCAATTGCATTATACAATATACTTGGCATTTCAATTTGCATGTTTGCTGGCTATCGAATCTTTGCATGGGTGCTTTCTCCGCCTTCATCGGTTCCGATCCAGAAAGGACCAAGAAAGCTTTACCACCTGCCCCTCCCTTGGGCCCAATGCCAAATGGCAGCTTTCGTTCGACAGTGGATTCCTGGAACCGAGAGCGCGACCAGCGGCGTATCGAAAAGAAACTAGGTTTACCAGAAGAAGGTGAGCAAAGTTGCTAGGTTTGGTAGGATTTCCGTCGTGTAAACAAAATTTGCGACGGAAAGTCGAACACTCGTAGATGATTCTGTGATTCAACATTGGCTCCGGGATTTGCCATTTATGCAGATTGTAAATTGCTGAAGGGCATCGTACTGTAGTTTCAAGATGTTTCAAGATGATCATGACGGGAATTTCTTTGGCACTCGGTTTAGAGGAAAATGCATGAAATCTGTTCTGTAGTTTGATAGGTGATGACACAACCATCTTCGTCAATGAGAAAGATACATCCGCGGTAATCGCAATTGGCTACCGCCGGGTACTATATGGCGATCATGGGCCTTATGTGGAGTTTACCAAGCACCAGATTCACTGGGAGGCTTGGGCCAGAAAGATTCATTTTAACATGTGGGATCACAGTGACCAGAGAGGCGTCACTTTGTCGCCATTAAAAAAAACTGTGAGAAAGTATTGATAGTGGCTCAGTAGGTGCGGAAGTCATGGCTACTGGCAATTGGTCATTCTTTGTTGACGCAAGGCGTTTCCAGTGGTGCTGCCGAACAAGCCTTCGCATGCCTATTACGACGAGCGCTTTACACAAGACAACCATGTCAAGGCATATGAGCAGCGAAAAACGGTGCGTGATAAGGCAAACCCACCGCCTGGTGAATGGTCAGCCAACAACGATCGGTATAATACTGGCTATGCTGACTATCAGCCCGGATATATCTACATCTCTGCCGATTGTGTCCGGGTGACAGATGTCCCCAACCGACCCTTGCGACCAAGGCCTCCCGCCTCCAGCGTACTGAAGGCCAAGGCCAAGGTGAAGCCAAGGCCACCACAATCCGTCAAACAGGCGAGAAAGGCCAAGGCCAAGAAACTTCCCGTGAAGCCGGTGGTTTCACCAACGAAGCCAACGAAGTTCCTTCAGGTGAAGCCACTTTGGAGCCTGCGCTTTCAATCGCCCAAGCCAAGCATTCGACGGAAAGACGTAGAGATGCAGCCAACCTTTGAAAAGAAGTGGAAGATGGGAAGCAGAGAGCATATCCAGGTCTTGAACCGGACCAACCCAACCAAATGTGTACAAAAACCTCGCACCAGCCGGGCAGAAGCAAAGCGCAAGCGCTCTAGTGCCACTGCCCAGGAGCCCAAAGGGTTCTGGATTTGGGTGGAGTAATGAACTTTTGAAGGCAGAAAAAACAGAGAATTTGGAGGCCATTCCAAGTCAGTTTTTGTGTGACTTTTGTTCTCCGTTATTTATTTTCTCAAAATTGTTCGATCATCATCGGAAGAACATATACTTAAATTCTGGTCGGCCTCTCCAGCCACGTTTCAAAGCAACGTGCTGCTTGTCGTTTTTGGCATCTACAGCAGGCAACAGGTCGACTTCCTCGGCTGATCGCTGCTGCCCCACGGAAATCCGAGGGAGAGCATTAGGTGCAACGGTGCAACGATTTGCAGAAAAGATGCTGTCACCGGTGCTGCCATGATGTTTGGCCCACTGGGGGTCAATTTCCAGCAAAGCAAGCGGCCATATTTCGGAGAACATGTTCTTCCTGTAGCTGTCGACTTTCGTGGCTGAGCTGCTGCTGCACTTTGAGGCTTCTTCTTCAGCCCAGATGAATCCCAAGGTGGTTGCCAGGGTCCGGAGTTTCACTTCGGAGAACGAGAGCTGCAGTGGAGGCCTGGTGGCAACTTAGATCTTTGAAGCCGTCACAAGCCGCTCACAAGCCAAACGCAAACCAACGCAGCTTTAGGATGGTTTAGGATGGTTTAGGCATATTCAGACCTCGCTGACGATTTGCACCTGCACTGGCATCGGCTTGTGCTGGCAGAGCTTGGGTTGTGTCGTGATGTCGGCTCCACAGTGCCTCATGTTTGACCTCGCAGGCATTGTGGCTCAAGCTTGTTTGCTCGGTGCGCTTCCTTCCTTTGCATCCTTTGTCCCAATGATCGGTGCCACTGTTGGAAGCACCGCTGCAGGTTCTGGCGCCGGCACCACCTTTGTCGTTCCTCCCCCCTCGGGACATGCTCGACTTCTTCGTGGTGCAGCTGGCGCTGAAACCGGCCGTAGCGGCATGGCTGGTTTGGCAGGAACCGCAGCGTTCGCCAGTCTCGCAAGTGTTGCAATGGTGGCAGCTGGAAGGAAATCAGCCACCAGCTGCAATGCAGCTGCTGTGAAGAAGAAGGGCGTCAAGGTGGTGCATGGCAAGGAGATTCCATGGAACCTCTTTTCCCCTAAGGCTCCTTACCAGGGCAAGGTCGTTGCCAATGACTTTCACCCACAAACCTTGACAGAGCCCACTGGAGATGCCAACTGGGAAACCACTCATGTGACCTTCGACCATGGAGGCAAGGTCCCTTACATTGAGGGCCAGTCCATTGGAGTCATCGCACCTGGCCCCGACAAGAAGGGCGAGCAGCCAGCGAAGATCCGGCTCTACTCCATTGCCTCTTCGGCAGTGGGTGATGATCAGAGCTCCAAGACGGTTTCTCTGTGTGTGAAGCGTGTAGTGGAGCTGGATGGCAAGTTCAGCAACCGAGCCAAGGGAGAGGACAAGCCTGACAAGGCTGGAACTGCTTTCCCGGAGAATGAGGTCTACCGTGGTGTTTGCTCCAACCACATTTGCGACATGAGCGTTGGAGATGACGTGCTGATCACCGGTCCCACAGGAGCCGAGATGCTGCTGCCGACAGATCCGGAAGCTAACATCATCATGTTGGCCACTGGCACTGGCATAGCACCCATGCGCTCCTATTTGAGGCTGCTCTTCCATGACAAGGCTGGAGCTGATGGGGACGGCCGCAAGTTCAAGGGCCTGGCATGGCTCTTCATGGGCGTGCCATACTCCAAATCTTTGCTGTATGATGATGAGCACCAGACCTACAAGAAGGAATTCCCAGATCAGTTCCGCTACGACTACGCCGTGAGCCGTGAGGACAAGAATGCGGCAGGACAGAAGATGTACATCCAGACCAAGATGGCCGAGTATGCCGAAGAACTCTGGGAGTTGATGCAGGATGAGAAGACCCACGTCTACATGTGCGGCTTGAAAGGTATGGAGAGCGGCATGGCAGAATGCTTCGGGCCCATCGCTGAGAAGAACGGCATCGTTTGGACGGAGTTTGCCAAGGCCATGAAGAAGGCTGACCGCTACCATGTCGAGGTCTACTAAGCTGTACCAAGCCCATCCAACAGCATTTCACGTGCTGATGCATCATGGCAGTTCCATCCTAGAGGCACCAGATTTTCACTTTCGTGCCATGGGGCGGATTCGATTTTCCCTCTAGTGAGTCGCCGTCTTTGACTGGCTCCATACATATTCCGCCTAGAGCTTCAAACGTCAAAAAAGTGCCGCGGTTTCGGGTCTCCTGAGCACGGCAGGGGCCCCCAAAAAGACAGAACCAGATGGAACATGATGGAACACGGTGAAATGATGCCCCTGCAGGAGTGCGTGGACAGGCCGTTGTGCCTTTCTCTACCGCAATGAGCCGGAGGATCTCCAGGCAGTTGGGCAGGATGGGTTAAATTAAAAACTCAAACCTCACAGGAAGTCATTTCAGGTATGAACCTTCCAACTTTCAGATCTTAAAGGAACTCATACATACTCATACAGTTTTTGTTGGGTTTTTGGACCCCAAACCTATTTGTCATTGGTGATCATAGAAAATATGGAAAGAGAGGCCCAAATCAGAGCCTTGTGGCCACTTGCTGTACAACTTGTATGGCGTTAATTGGACCCTTGTTTTTGTCGTTTATGCCACCATTTCACCATCAAAATCCATCAAATGCCGGCTTAGTCAAGAACTCACAACAATATATAAGTTCATTCAGTCGTGAGCGGCGTAGAAGTGCTCAACTTGTAGCTTTGCTTCTTACCTTGGCCTTGCCAGGTTATCCATTGGAAGCACTCACGAAGTGATGAGTACGATGCCTGCTATAGATTAGCATGCAAGGACACAAAGTTGAACTCTGACGGCTTTTCTAGAAAAAGTAGAGTGTGTAAAGACCCTGAAAAGAACCTGAGCAGCACGGGGTCGTGAGCAAGCGGGACAGATTGGCCTCCCTCTTGTTCTTTCTGATTTGTATTATTGGAGAGTGTTGGAAGCTGTTGGAAGCATGCCGTGAGAATGAAAGGAGTTCTGCTCGATGCATTGGTGCTTGGCCAAAACAGCCACTTGGATGAGTGTTCTGCATTGAAAAGGATGTGTCGTCTAAGTCGCCTAACTGGAGACTCAAAATTGAGAACAGCTCAAAACAGTGGTCGCAAGATTGGAGACAGCGAGAGAACACACAAACATCCAACATGAGCAACTTTTTGGGTTGCTTGAAATGTATGTTTCGTAATATGAAGGCACCCCAAAACACACACACATACACACACACATATATACAGTATATATAAATATAAATACATACACACGTAGTATGCATATATATATATATTATCAATTTTTGAAAGCAATGAAACCATGCTTCTCTATTGAGTCTATTACGGAGGGTACGGGGGGTCATTTCTATAGGTACGGGTACGGGTACGGATGTTCGGTACGGGTGTTGGGTACGGGTGTTGGGTGCGGGTGTTGGGTACGGGTACGGGTGTTGGGTATTGTTGGGTACGGTTACGGGAATTGGTATTGGGTACCGTTGTTGGGTGCGGGTACGGGTGTTGGGTAAATGTTTGGGTGCGGGCACCGTACCTATTGTACCGTGCCCATGTACCGTGCCACCGTACCCATGTACAGCACAAATCTACCGTCCCACCGTACCCATCGTACCCACCATACGTACCCAGTTAGCGACCGATCTAGCAAGCGATTTTTTGATATCTTTGAAATTAATAAATATATTTTTTGATAAACAAAATAAAAATCGGTTGCTAGATCGGTCGCTAACTGGGTACGTATAGTGGGTACGGTGGGTCCGGTACATGGGTACGGTACCCACCGTACCCACCATTGTACCCAGGTAGCGACCGATCTAGCAACCAATTTTTTTAAATATATCTTTTGAACATTATTATTAACAAAAACTTTAAAAAAACATGTTTTATCTTTAAAAATCGGTTGCTAGATCGGTCGCTAACTGGGTACGTATGGTGGGTACGGTGGGTAGGGTACATGGGTATTGCACCCAGTACCATACTTACGTACCCATGTGCCGCACCTACGCACCCATGTCCCGTACCATGCGTACCCTGTTCACCGTACCTGTAGTTTTGTCCAAACCGTACCTGAAAAAGGTAGCCATTAGAGCATTGCTCTTGAAAATTGATAATATATATATATATACATACATACGCATGTAATTATGCAACATAATGCGTACACACGAACAGTATAAACATATGTATGTATGTATATATATATATATCTATACACGCACGCATGTACTGTATATGTATACTTTCTCTGAAAGATGGCCAAAACATACCAAACCCTTGGATGATTTTGGGGCCCCTGTTGTAGGAACCCCATAATTTCCTAGATTCATGAGGAACTTCCTCCATGCCACCAGAAAAAATCCGAGCCTCTCAGGTGGCAGCTGTGCTTTGGGGCTTCACGGTTCTGCTTATCCTAGCGGCGCTTCTTTGTTGTACAACAGTAGGCCGGGAGTTTAGTGTTCCATTTTGGCCGTTGAGATGGATGTTGGCTGTGAATCAAGGCTACAAGATGGGCGAGCAAAGGGCAGCCTATCGACATCGGGAACTAGGCCCTTTACACAAGCCTTTCATGTCCTTCCATTATATCGTTTGAAATGCAGGGTGAGAGACAGAGCCCTTGTGGCACAAGTGACAAGTTAGTCAAGTTAGTCAAGCTCTGCAACTGACTAATTCGTCCAGGTAAAAGCGCTAGCAGAATCGAGAGCAAGAGCAGCGCAGAGAGCAAGAGAAGCTCCGAGAGCAGAATGCAGGCCAAGAGCACCAGCATCGTACAGACGGCGGTGATTTGAAGGGACACACTCGATCCCTCTTCCTTTCTTACCGTGTCCCCGGTACAGTTGAATAGCTGATAAGCGCGTGCGATCAGCTTGAACACTACCCAAAGATCAAAGGGCACTAGCAAAATCAGCTCTATTTGTCTCCCAGATGGAGGAAGTTGTGTTGTTTATTGTGGCAGTGGGTTCCATAGGAATTTGAAGCACAACTTGTCCCGGGAGTTGTCCACAGCAAAGTAAGAACTGCACCTTGTTGGTCGGGACGGGACAAGGCTTTTGCATGGCTAGTGGCTAGCGGATCTCACCTGTAGATGTGCAGTCAAAGACGTAGACATAGGAGGTGCTTCACCCCTTAAGGGGGCCTGCAACCTGTTCCACGGATCTTGCGCAGCACCTTGAAGGAAAAGACGGGCAAGAAGAGAATCAGGGTCTTGTTGCAGGATGTTCGAAGTGATTGCACTCTGTGAGGACATTCTCTTCCCCTCTTTCCGATATCCCGATTTCGGTACAGCTATAGCCCAGAATCTACCAACACAGCACTTTAGGGTTTTGATGTTAAGAAACATGTTGCCACCCCCAACATCAGGTGTCTCTCAACCTGTTCTGGCAGAACCAGATGTCACATTTCTGATTGAGCCTTGCTGGTGGCATTCAGATTGCTCTTGCTTCTCCTACCTGTTGAAAGTGATCATTTTCATTGCCAGTCTTTGAACCTTCTGTTGAGTCACTTGAGAGATTTGAATGCAACACTGTAGGCGCAGGCCAATCTGGCTCAAGCTTGTGTGTAGGCGAGCAACATACAGGCCAGCTATGGCCAGCTGCCAGAGACCCCCCTCTCAGTGATGAACTGCATCCTGTGATCCTGTGATCCTGTGACAGGTTGCATCACTTATCACTTGTTACTTTGCTGCCGAACATGGCCCGGATGCCTGGGGATGCCTGGGGCCTGGAGTCGGTACAGGGATGGTGGCGGGTCGTGCAGCGTGGCTGACCAGGTCTTAACGGAAGCTGAAAAAGCGGCAAGGGCCAAAGCTGAGAAGGAGGCCTGACACAAAGCCAATGGTCTTTCTTATTGCACATCAGTCTAGTTGGTTGGTTTCGACTGGTTCGTTTCCCAATCTGGGAGTTCAGCAATTGAGTCAGGCTTTAGCAGCCAAGAAGGCTGAAAAAGAGCGAATCGAAGCAGAGACCTGGCTAAAGCAACTTGTAGCGGATCAGCCCCAGGGTCAGTTCGGTGGTTTCTAGAGAAAATAGCAAGAGAGAGGAAGGAACTGATGGCGGCTGATTCATCCACTTGGGAGATCACTTGAATTGGAATCGCGCGTTGAAGTCCCGGAAAAGTATATAATTGAAATCCGTATATCGAACCTACCTACGTCTCAGCGTGGTCTAAAGTTTGTAGTGTTGTAGGGACTTGTCACACCCCTCGCAGGGCGGCGTCCCTTCCCAAGAAAAACTAGCGTTCATGGAAAGAAACCTGGCCGGTGGACCCGAAACATTCCACTTTTTCAGTTTTCCATGCCAAAATAATGCAAAATATGAGTCAAGAGCTACGAACAACAGAGGTCTGAAGGGAAGGTTGGGTACAAATGTTGAGATCTTGCGAAATCCCAAGTTGGCACCGTGACCACCCCAAGTAGGGACGTAGGGATGGAGCTGAGGAAATTCGGGCGGACAGGGATATGTTCAATGCGGTGAAGAGCACTGCAAAGGAGGACCTGGTCACTGAAGCCGCCGCTTCGGAGTTTGTGATCGATTATATTATATATTATATTCAATTCAGAATTCGATACAAGGTTGCGATTGAACAAAGACGTGGCTCACAGCCGACAGCGGGAGTAAGTATGGCTGCCACCTCTGACTTCCAGTTTCCAGGTACTCATTCTCGAAGTGTGTTTGATGGAAGAAATGGGATGCTTCAATCCAGCCAGGAGAAACCTGAAGCTGCCCCGAAACTGCTCATTCGCCTGCGCTACGCCGTAGACGGCAAGAAAGGTCGAAAACCACTGGAAGTGGATGGGACGCCATCCACTGTGAGTCTTTTCCATTTCTATCAGGCAGTCGGCTGAGCTTGGTGACCTTCACTGGATTCGAATGGTGGTCTCCAACCCAAACTTATGGTGCAAACATCAAGAAAGTCTGCTCGTTTTTCAAACAACGGTCCATGAACTTGACAAAGGGAATGGTGACTGATATCTGTATCTCCCCACTGCAGATTTGCTTTCCAACCTCCCCACTTGGGAAGCTGATCGCCAAATAGTTTCATTGAAAGTCATTTTTTCCTCCAAAAAGCCACCAATCAGTTTCGGTTGGCCAATTCCTTCTCAAATAGAGCAACAAATTAGATTATTAATTACAGTTCTATCATTTTGGAGTTATTGCCTATGGCTTTACTTTTATATTTCCACATGTAAAACTTAACATAATGAAGCAGCTTGTTGATACCCTTGGCTGCTGACACTCCTGTCTACCCTGGTGGAGTGTTTTGTTTTCTCACTCGCCTTT